GGCGGCACTCACTCTCGGTGACCCGGCTGAGGCGCAGGACGTGCTCCGGCCGGATGGCGTCCAGCGCCAGTAGCTCCTGCTCGGTGACCACTGTCCCGATGCCGTCTCCGAACGCGTGTTGGGGCGCCTGCCGCCGCGCCTTGAGCCGGTTCAGGACGCCGCCCCCCGCCTTCTTCTTCTCCTCCTTGCCAGCCACCAGCCCCCCGGACCCAGCGGCCGTTCCCGCGGCCGAAGCCTTGGGGTTCGCCCCGTTCATCGCTCCGCCGCCAAGATGGCCGCCACCTCCACAGCGCCGTAACTATGGAGAGCGGGGGCGGGGCCGGGCACCACCTGGGGGCGGGGCCTGCGGGAGCCGCCGGAAGGTTCTGCCTCCAACTCTGGTCCGGCCAGGTGGTGGGTCGGGGGGCGTGGCCAGGCACTTAGGACCTCCGCACTCTCTCTCGGGCTTCCAGTGTCACCCTCCAGGTTTCAAATATGTATCTTACAGTCGAATGAATTTCTGTCATATAAACTGGAAAGACGTCTTGAAAAAATGTTTAATATATTTTGTATAGAACCCAAGACAGTGCTTGCTATGCAAAGGCAGCCTCAAGATAAGATTTCCAACTAGATTGCAGGAACTAAGCCCTTCTGTGCCAGGTCCTGGGCTAGACATTGCGCTAGGCTACAGGAAATTTAAGGAGGAAGGCAGTTTGGGTCTGCCTTGCTCACCACGGTAGTCACGCCAAATTAGCAAATGCCTGGCACACACAATAGGTGCTCAATGAGGAATGAATGAGTGAAATTCTGAACTGGGCCCGCCACCCTCTGTGTAGGAACTCCCACTGTGTCAGGAAGACAGTGAGGTACGCAGCTCATTGTGACAGGCCAGCAAGTAGGGTCTACAAGACAAACTGACTCCCTGACTGCTGTAAGAGGTGCAGCAGAGGTGCTAGGCCAGCACAGAGAGTGGTTTATTCTGGCCTGATTGGGGGCTGGAGGATTCACAGAAGTGACATGTCCACTGGGCCTTGGAAGTTAACCGTGATTTCACCCAGTGGAGCGGGCAGTAAGGGAAGGCTGCCCTCCTACACCTCTTTGGGATTCCTGAGGGATTCTCCCATGTTGGAGGCCTGGAGCTGATTTATGCAAACTGTTACCTCTCAGCTAGACGGAGGGGGAGTGCAATCCCAGCCTCTGGCGATGGTCAGCCTCAAGACCTGAGTAAGGCAGCGCGGTGCTGGGTCCCTCTCACCTGCTGGCAGGCCGCTGGGAGGAGGCTGGGAAGTGCTGCCAGGCCTTTAAGTGTTCTTCACAGGCCAAACCTGACTCCACCCAGCTGCCCAGTTAGGTGGAACGGTATGTGGCCAAGTTCCTTTCTAACCGCTGTCCTGCCTCTTGAGAGACTGGCATCCCGTGGCACTTACCAAACTGTTTCATAAATGTGTAAAAAAAGTCTTTCCTTTTGCAGACAACTTATTTTCTTCCCCCGCCCCTCCCCTTCAGACAACTTTTAAAACCACTCAACTGTGAGTAGTTCCTGAAGAATTTCCAGAACTTTTAATATGGTATTTGGGATTGCCAAGAAGGTCGTTTAGTATGCAGTCACTCCCTGCAGATTTGCTCACTAAACATTCAAAACTAGAATTACCTGGATCCATTTTTTTCTTTCTAGGGATTGTGACAAGTATAAACTTCTTCACCTGCAATTCCACATCAGGGAATTTAGCCTACATGTATATACAAAGATGTTTACTCCAGGAACATTTTAACACTGATAAATTATTGTAAATTACAGCTGGGTCCGTGTGGTACAGCTGTTAAAAAGACTGAGCTTTCTTCACAGACGAGAAAAGACATTTAAACTTAAGAAAAATTCTCCCAACAATGGACATTGTATCAGTCCAGGTATTGTCTTTGTGATTTTTGATCAATATTTCATGTTTGTGTGTTAATCGTCATAAAACAGTGATTTGCAGGGGGGAGATGATTGAGCTTGAGCTATATGTACTAGTATGGAAAGATTTTAAAGATATATTGAGTGGAAGCTGGTTGTGATGGTGCATGCCTGTAATCCCAGCTTTTGGGAGGTTGAGGCAGGAAGATTGCTGTGAGTTTGAGGCTAGCCTGGGCTACATGATGAGTTCAAAGCTAGCCTGAACTGCAAGAACATGTCTCAAAAAAAGTATATATATATATATAAACAAGGTACAGAACCCTAGTTGTTTAAAAATAGAATATATCATAGATGTATTTCTATGATTATAAAGAAGTCTGGATATATATTAAAATGTTAATCTTTTTTTTTGAACCAGTAATTGAACTCAGGACCTTGTGCTTGCCAGACAGGTGCTGTGCCACTGAGCTATATCCCCAGCCTAAAATGTTAATCTTGATTCCCTCTGAAATGAGAGTATTAGGAGTTAAAAGGAATATATTCACTTTTACATTACTTAGAGCTACTTCTATACTATTTTATCACAAGCATATAATCACAGGCTGCATGTATGCTTTTTTTGGTGGCGGGGTAGGGGGCGGTGGTGGTGGTGAGACAGGGTGCCTTTATGTAGCCCAGGCTGGGCTTGAAATCACGCTGTTTCCCAGGCTGGCTCAAACTCTCAGCAATCCTCCTGCCTCAGACTCCCGGGTTCTGGATTACAGGCGTGTGCCACCACGCCCAGCATCTATACTTTTTTAAAAAGAAAATCTCTTAAGTTCTGTGTCTGGGAGGCAGGCTCTGTGCCAAAATACAATTATTTTCTCTTAAAATTTGAAAGTAACCTCAGGGCTAGCTGTGTAGCTCAGTGATAGAGTGTTTGCTTGCCTAGCATGTGCAAGAAGGCCCTGGGTTTGATCTCCAGCACCACCACAAAAGGGGGTCACCAAACCCAGGTGTAATCCTAGCTAGCACTCGGAGAAGCTAAGGCTGGATGACAAGTTTGACCCCAGCCTGGGCAACTAAGTGAGATCCTGTCTCAAAATTTTAAAAGGGCTGGAGATGTAGCTCATTACAAAGGCCCTGCGCTTAATTAAATAATTAACACCAAGGTTTCCCAAGGCTGTACATTGTGAGCCTGGAACACAAAAGCTGGCCTCCCTTTTACCCCAGCTGGGTAGTCTGTAAGTTCTTCCAACCATTGTAAGAACTGTGACAGTGGCTGGTTTTCAGGGTAGTCCCAGAGGAGCCAGGTGTTCTGCCTCAAATCAGGCCAGGCAGGTGGAGCCGAGTTGGAGCAGCCAAAGTAAGCACGAGAGGGCTTTTCTAAGACTGGAAACGCAGCCCTCTCCATAGCCTCCCTGAAAATGGCACACATGCAGTCAGCAGGTCGGGGCTGGGACGGCAAGCATTCCTTGTGCGCTGAGACTGACAGCATCGTTTCTCTAATGGCCAGGTCACTTCACTCCTTGGCTGAGGGCTGTTTTTAAAAAACACTAATTTATTATTTATAGCTCACCTGCTTCTAGCATATGCCAAAGTCTTATTAAAGTATGAGATTGGTGAGTAAAAATTCATACAGCCTTGTGGAAAGCAGTACAAAATTTTTAATGGGTATATTGTTTGATCCAGTAATTCCTTAAAGAAATCTTAGAGGAAAAATTCGCATATATGCACAAAGATGTATGCACAAACATGTTCACTGCAGCAATTTGTACTTGTAAAACATGAGCACTCTTTTAATGTTAATTGATAGGGGATTAGTTAAATAAATCACAGTGTAATCATAAAATACTGTGTAGTCCTTTAAAGGAAATTTCTATGTACCAACCTATGTATATGTAGAAATTCTCTTAAGACATAGTAGGTAAAATTCTCTTAAGACATTAAGTGGTATGTACAGTAAAGTCAGGATAATCCTGTTTTTAAAAATACTATATATTTTATATGTATATGTATAAATATATATAAAATGAAAGATACACAGACTATCACCTGTTATTATCCTTTAGGGATCAGAGGGATAAAGATGACTTTCACATTTTGTGCCCCATATAATTTTTTTAAAAATTTATGTATATATTAATATATTTCTTATATCACTAAACCTTAAAAGGTTACTTTTTGTGAGGAAGGGTATAATAATTAACCACAGATTCATCAGCCATCGGTATTATACACTGAGTCTTAAAAGGTTTTTTTGTTTGTTTGAGACAAGGTCTTGCTATATAGATCAGACTGGCCTCAACCTCAGAGATCCTCCTGCGTTACCCTTCCAAGTGCTAAAATTACAGGTATGTGCCACCACACCTAGCTGAAAGGTTCCTTTCTAAAAATAGTATATCATGGCATTAAGAGCACAGGTTTTAGAATCAACAGGACCACGTCTTGCTCTGCCACATCCCAACTATGCGACTTTGGAGAGGTTATTTCTCTTCTGAGCCTGCTAGTCACCATTTTGCCTAGGGCTGTTATCAAGAAGAGACACAAAATAGCAACAAAAAATACTAGGTGCAATGATGCATGCCTATAATACCAGCTACTCTGGAGGCTGGGGCAGGAGGATCACAAATTCAAGGCCAGCCCTCATCTCAAAATAGGAAAAAAAAGGGAGGGCGGGACCTGTGGATATAACTCAGTGGGAGGCAAGCACAAGGCCTTGAATTCAATCCTCATTATAGGAAAAAAAAAAAAAAAAAAAGTACTATGCTGATGCCAGCAGGAGTGCCAGTGAAGGTCACCACTGTAAGTAGCCTTTCTCCAGGACCTTTCTGCAGGCACGCTGTGCAGGATGCAGCCACGGAGTGGATGGGAGCGTGCAGGGACTGAAAAATATACTCAAGTCAAGAGCTGAAAGAAAATGGGTTGGGGACCAGGCCTTGAGAAAACAGATGCAAGTGGAAGCAAAGGGGGTTACAATGTAAGTGGTTAGGAACAAACAAAACTAAGACTGGGGTTTGCCAGCTGCGGGCAAACCCACCCACTCATTCTCCACCCACTTCTGCCTTGACCCCTCATCCCCCTTACAGCAAAAAGCTTTCCAGTAAGCGTTGGCAAATCTCATCTCTCTTCCTCTGTGGGGGCTGGGGGCAGTACTAAGTATGGAGAAAGGTCTGGCACACTGGCTCCAGCCAACCGGGAGCCTGATTTCCTTAGTAAGATTAAGATCTGGGCCCATGGAGTGGTCCAACCCAAACCCGGCACTTAGCCCAGGATCTTGTGTCAGACAATTTCCCTCCCTACAACTCCCTAGCGCAGGGCTTCTTCAGGTCTCTTCCCCATTTGGCAGTTCATCCAAAGGTACTTGAAATAGTAACAGCTAAATCTGAGTTAGTAAAGAACTCCAGTTATGGGTCAGTTCAACCTCAGGATGAAGCTCTGTGGGCCTTACGACTCGTTTGAACCCTGGGGATAACTCCATCCACACTGGTCTCATTCTTGGAGCTGAGCACTTGAAAGAGTAACACCCTTTTCCCCCACAGAACCAGCGGCCTTCGTTCCTGCCTGGGGAAATACAGCCCTAAGGTTTTAGAGCCACGTTACATAGTTTCCTGGGGAAATAAGAGGCCAAAGAGTAATGATTAAGAGCAAGAGCCCTGCTTTAAAATCTCGGCTCTGGCTGGGCATGTAGCTCAGCGGCGCAGCGCCTGCCTGGCAAGCATGAGGTCCTGAGTTTGATTCCTGGTACCAAAATAAAAATAAAATAAAATCTAAGCTCAGCCTTTTGCTGGCTCTGTGGCCTTGGGCAAGTCCTATTACCTCTCAAAGGATAATACCAACAGGCCTGTGGACAATTAGACAGCTAGGATCTGAGAAGTATTTGGCCTACACCATTTCAAGGACTGACTAGAGGATAGCTGTAATTACTGTTTGTACAGCTTTAGAAAGAGCATGGGCTTTGATGGCAGATACACTGGGCTCAAACCCTGCCTTAGCCATTTACTGATCAGCCTGAGGCAAATTAATGAACTTTTTTGAGCTTCATTTTCCACAGCAACACTGCCCACAAATTACAGGGGGGAAACAATCCTTTCTGCATCTGCTCTTCCCAGTGTGTACTCAACACTGGTAACTCATCAGAAAAGGAGAAAGCAGAGAAAAATACCCTGTCACTTAGCTTGTCAATAGCCCGCCATGGAGGCTAAGGGAACAGTCGAGAGGACAGCAGCTATATGCCAGGTTATGCCTGGGAGAGGGATGGTCACAGCCGGTGTCCCAGTGACAGTAGAAACCAAGTACAATAACCCATGTTTCATTGACTGCCAGGTCGAAATGCCAGGCAAGGCTTTACAGGGTATCACTCCCTTCAACGCACACCCTGACAAAGAGAAAGCAAGAGATAACTGCTAAGTACACAACAGCTTCCAGCTCATCACGGCCAAGTGAGCCCTTCCCGGTCTCGCTTTTCCCACCTTCACATCACCTCTTTGCAATACCGTTCAAATTCAGTCCCAACACAGAGTGTCACTGCAAATTGTTTATTAAAACACAAAGCAATGGACAGTGAAAAACATCCTGATGTTTTTACTTTTTGGTGGGAGTGGGGTGGGGCACGGAAGGGGTAGGGACAGATGGAGACAGCCCAGAAGGAAAGACAGCTCTATCCACCCCCACTGCTTCCCTGGCCAGCCAGGTTCAAAGCCCCTCAAGTACATCTTGCTGTGCTGCTGCTGTAAATGCATGTGGCTACAAAGAGTTGTTTGACCTCTGCAGGGAGAGGTTGGGAAACTAGAGTAGGAGCTACGAGGGCTACCAAGAACTTGACACTTTCTCCAATACTTGGTACCAAATAGAGCACAGGCCCGATGTGGAAGGGCAGGGTTGGTTTCCTGACAAGCCAGGTCAGGCAATGATGACTGCAGAGACTGCCCTGAGCTCAGAACGGGCAGCCGGTCTTGGCCTGGGAGACCTTCATAGAAAGGAAAGGTAACACTCCTCAGATCCAAGGAGGGAGCTAATCCAGGGTCCAATTTCTTCTCATTCCCTGGATCATGACACACCAGGGGAGTCAAGAATGTTTCTTTCCTGGTTTTGCCAGAACGTCTCTCCTGCCAATTCTCCCCTCCTACCTGGCAACTTAGCACTCCTTTCCCGACAGTTGTCCTTTGAAAGGGCGGAAAGCACACTTCAGTTTGTTGTTGTTTTTCCTCACATTGAAATAAAGCACTGAAGCTCAAAATAGAGGTGAGAATGGAGTTCTGCTTTTCCGGGTGGTATGTGCTCCCATCTCACAAGACTGCCTGGATGCAAGTGGTGCCAAGGCCCTCTCTGCCAACTCGAACAGGCACTAGTGTTTCCCTGGCTGCCAGCGCAATCCTGGCTTCTTGTTTTTATACTCCTGGGAGGAACCTGTCCTAAGAGATCCAGCCTGCTCTTTTCCTGCCAACCCAGGCAGTCCTCAACTCTGCTCTTACCAGGATGATTTGGCCGCCCAAAGCCAGCTGGACAAAGGCAGCTGGGGAAGGGCAAACCACAAGGGCAGCAAGCCTCCATGTGTGGAGACCCGCCCTCCCCGGGCTGCTGACCCCTTGGTGCCAAGCTGGTCTTGTAACATAAGAAAGCTGAGCCCTCTTGCCCCAGGAGAGGTCCAAATACAGAGTCCTAGCTCAAACTGAAAGGGAAAATTGCTCTGGTCTCTCCGGAGCTTGAACAGTAAGGCTTCTTTGCAATTTTCTTAGAGCTCTTTGATCCCTAATTATATCTTCTCCCCAAAGAGAGGCAGATTTCTGAACAGATCCTGGGTGTTTCTGGTTCTGCTTCAGTGCACTCTCACTTAGTCTCACCCCTTTCCTTCCTCAGGGGCCACAGCAGGAGGCCCAAGCACACCTCCCCCAGCCCTATCTTTAAGAAACAAAACAAAACTGGAGCATCTATCAGTCTCACCTGCTCTCCCCTCAGTCCTTTTGGAGGCATGCAGGGCAGTGTTACATGTTGCCACTTGATGCCATTAAGGCTCCTCAAGGCAAGAAGACACTTGAATTATGTCAGAGTAGGCCAGCCAAGGGGAAGCGGCATAGGGAAGCAGCCCCGAGACCAGGACTGTAGGACCCCCCCCTCACACACACCTGAATCTAGAGGGAAGGCCCACCCTGGCTCAGAGCAGGAGAGGAAAAGGCACTGTGCTGACCGGGGTGGGTCCTTCCCCAATGCCCAAGGAAGGGAGAGAACTTTCTAGCTCTTTCCTTGGGCATCCCCTGGTGAGCCGATTTCTAGGGAAAGGGACCTAAGTGCTACGAAAAGAAAAATACTGATGCTGTTTTCTGAAGTTCTCAGCTGAGATTCTAGAAGCCAGGGGTAGGCCTTCCTAGAAGAGGCCAGGCAGGACAAAAAGAGAAATTCCTTAAAACAGAAGTTTCTCCAAAAAGATAAAGAAATAAAGCCACACTTCCAAAACTGGATCAAACAGTTCCCAGGCACAGAAAGGGGGAGATTAGCTCAACTCAAAACTATCCCGTCTCATCGAAGCCCACAAGACCTCTAATGTGACTTTGGTATCTCTGGGTCAGTGAGAGCCAGAGAACATGACCACACCCTCCAATCCACAGATGGCCCTGCAGATCAGGGCTGGTCCTCCTGGGAGTCTGACACCACAGTCACTTGAAGATTATCTTTTAAATCACCAGAGCTCAGGGTATCTACTGAGCAACTTTTCTTGCTCAGGAGTGGAGACTTTTCAGGAAAATGGATTTGGCTTAGAGGACATGGACCCCATAGATAGTCTCTTGGCACAATGTTTCCATCAGCATGAATAGGACCCCAGTTAGAGACTGGCCAGCCCCTGGCCCAGACCAGACCAGACTGCAGACTCTCAGTCCACCTTCAGCACAAGTCTCTGCGTGGTCCTCACATACACCTGACTAGAGTCATACGACTGTTCTTGTCTTGACCAGCTGGGCTCCTAAAACCTGGGACAGAGTATAAATCAAGGCGAAATGCCCAGGCCTCTCCTCCCTCACCATAAGTGCAGCCTCTCAGTTCTCTCACTAGCTCAAAATTACAGATAGGGGAACAAACAGTGCAAAAAGCAAAGATGAAGAGTAATTCTTAACATAACACAATACAGAAATAAAAATAAAGCATGCCCCATCCCACCTCTTTAACCTAAACTTCATGTACCTATATCATCTTGGAGGAGCCAAGGGAAAAAAAAAAGTTTTCAAGTTCAGCATCACGAGCCGGCCATGGCCAGCCCTAGGCAGCGTCCGCTAGCTGAGTGGGCTCGGCTCCAGGGGAATCTACCCCGCCCCCACCGCGCTTCTTCCCATCTCCTCACTTCCCCCTTAGCTTTTGTTAGCCATAGAAAGATGTTCCTTCCTTTCGGACACAACCAGAGAGGAAAGCACCCATCCCTATCCCTGGGGAAAGGGGAGGGCTTGGAAACAGGCAGAAGCAAAGCTGCTTGGCTTACAGTACCGTTAGGAAATGGCCCCAGGAGTCAAGGTTTCCTTCTGAGACACCAAGTCACTGAAGGGATAGGCTGAGGTGAGGAGGCGGGACCCCTCCTTCCTCAGAGATCCAGGCAAACTAACAAGGCAAAATGTAGGCAACTAGTCCTTCATTTTGTCTCACCCACTGGCAGTGGCCCACAGCTTTGGGAGTTATGATGGAACAAGAAAGCCACCATCAGAAGCCCAGCTAATCAGGGCATCTACCGTCCTAGGCAGGTGGTCCCCAAAACCAAGGCTACAGTACTTTACCCTTCAGCAGCAGAGAAGCTTCGGAAGCACTCCAGGAAATGCTCCTGACTGCTGCTTCAGGCCAGAGCGATCCAGCTGCCTGACTGAGTACCTTAGGGTGGAGGCCCAAGTCACAGCGAAAATAAGGGGTTACAATTCTCAAACTACTAAACGCTGGCCTGGAACAATCACTAAAAGCCGAAGCCAGGACACGAACCCAAGCGCTATTTACTTTGTCACATAAGGAATAGTTCAAATATACGGAGCCAAACTCAAAATTAAACACATTTTAAAAATACGGGCCTGGCCTGAAATTCTATACTGCTCTAGCCCAAGCTGAAGCTAAGCCTGCTGCCTCCCATCCACAAAATTCCTTTTAGATTGACTGGCTCCGACCTCATGTTGCCCTAACTGGGAAATGGATGACCGTGTTCAGAAAGGAGGGGAACAAGGAAGCTTCATTTCCTGCAGAAAATCTGCCAGGAATTCGAGACAGACACTTAGATGCTAAGGTTAGCTTTCAGAGCTGCCAAAATCATGGCCAACTGGGAATCTCTCGACCCCATCATGCCAAGAACCTGACTGCTACTTGGATAAGGAGATAAAAGGACGAAGAGGCATACTATTAAGATCAACAAGAAACTGCTGGGCCGATACAGCCACTCAGTCTTGTTCTCTAGGGCAGTCTAGTTCCTAGTTGGACTGTGACAAAAGACATGGGGATAAATGAACATCACATACTAGACACTCTAAACAGTGGTCAGTCACTTAGTAGGGCTCAAGTCTCTGAGGTTGCTCTTAAATTATGCTAACATAAGCCTTTTCTAATCCAAAGACCAGAAGAGACTTTTAAGGTCAAGTGTTCTGTTGCTGCAGGCTGGAAAGCATCCCTGTCCCCTGGCAGCAAGACCCTACAAAAGGGCCAGTAAAGAACTGCTGGGTCAGGTCCTCCTGTCTGCTGGCTCAGAGATCCAGGGGGGGAGATACCAACAAGGTGAGGTGGTTCAGGATAAGACATTCAAACAGAGAACGAAATCCCCACGTCTCCTTCCCTTTTTGGTAATAACTTAGTGGGATGGTTAACAGGGAGCAGAAATTCTAAATGAGCCAGATTAAGAAAAAAAATTAAAAAGAAAGCAAGTCCCCAACAGGCACTGAAATAAAAACGATTTGCTGTGGTAACAAGTCAGAGGCAGTCTGAGGACCTGACATAAACTAATCTAATCGTCTCGGATACCAGACAGTCCTCTAACTAGCACATGTCAAGGAGATAAGTAATGATAAAGTTCAAATACTTGAGATGGACCCGTCACTGGATTAATCCAGAAAAAGCCTTCCAAGTAAGGAAGCATTTACTTTTTAAAAATGTTTTCAATTACTTTTGTCTTTACCATACAGCTTATACACCTTCACAAACACATTCTTGAATCCCAGGACATCTGAAAATGTGGCCATGACTTCAGAACATATCCAGCTCCCCTTGCTGATCTTCTCAGGTAATAAAGATAACATTTCCTTGCTGCTAAATTCTAATCTAAATAAGGAACTGAGACTGCTCTGAGTTCAGAGTCCTTTCCACTACGTATATAAATGAGGATCCTTGTTGGGAAGGACCCATTTACCCTAAGTACCCCAGAGAGAAAGAGACAGCTGGGGGCCAGCCACAGAGAGAAGACTAGGACTGAAGCAGGTCTGGGACCAGGTGGTGGATAAAAGCTATTCTCCACTCACTCTGCCTCTTTTTATCTCCTTTACCTTTTGTGTCTTGGGTTTTTCTTTTGCTTTTTTTTGGGGGGGGGGGGTTGTAAATCACTGTGAAAACTATAGAAACCAAAACCAACATGTTTGGTTTCTTCCCCACATCCCTCCACCCTGCTCAGGATGGTCATTTATTCTCACAGTCGGCAGAGGCAGAAGAGGGTTGGAATGAAGACTCCAAAGGCCACCAGGATGGGAAACATGAGGCTGCTGTTGTCCGAGGCATAGGGGTTGGGTGTGCGGGGGCCGGACTGCACCCGGTTCTTATTGGTCTGTCTTTTGGGATTAGACCCTTCATCATATTCTTCTTCTTCTTCTTCCTCTTCTTTCTTCTCCAAACCTGGATGAGGCTGTAGCTTTGGTACATCTAACACAAGAAAGAAAATAACTATGAAGTAAGACTCACCACAGCATTGAAGTAAGGCCCTTAAGAACAGCAAATGAGCTGTAATAAGGAGAATCCTATAGCTGCGAGTGGTGGTCCACGTCTGTAATCCCCACAGTCTGGGAAGCTAAGGCAGGAGGATTATAAATTTGTGCCCAGCCCGGGCAATTTAGTGAGGATATAGCTCACTGTGAAATTTAGTGAGGATACAGCTCATTGTGAAATTGGGGGCCACAGTATAACCCTCCTGTGACATGTCATAGGAAGGAACACAAATAGCAGAAATAGTCTCTAGCCTACAGGACAGCGAGCGTTATGAACACTTGTCTTCCTCAGATTTAACTAGAAAGTAGCTAAAGGAGGCTTTCTCTCTCCCATTCCTGCCCTACTTCTTCAGACAGCCATATTAGACAGGGACAATGACCTGGTACCCAAAATTTAACCCTTCAAGTACCTCCTCCTCCTTCCCATAAGCCCACATTTCCTTCTGATTCACACAGTGACAGAAGAAAAGTTGATGGACAGACTTCTGGGCTCTGGCCCACACTGCACTTGTCTCTTCCTGAGGGGTTCAAGTGCAGAACCATTTGGTGTAAGAGATCATCTTCCTAAATGTCATCACACTGGCATGTAGGGGGACACCAAGACAGGAGGATGAGATCCTCGGTGCATTTAAGATGAGTTGGGGAAAGGCCACTAAGACACAAGCTTTCTCTGCAAAAGTCAGCCTGGGAAGCCGGCAGCCTGGATAATCTAAATCTTGAGAAAAAAGATACTTAAGACTGGGGGGCTGGGGATTTAGCTCAGCGGCAAAAGCGCCTGCCTGGCAAGCGCAAGGTCGTGA